GGACGGAGCTCCCGGCTGACCCTCCGTGCGGGTGTGAGAGGGGCGGCCCTGGCTGCTTTACTGGCGTCTCATTGCATATTAAAGCCCCTTAAATTCCTGATCCATAATTGCTTCTAAAGTAATAATTCAGTCATTTGTTATGCAGCATGTTTCAAGAGAAACAGCTTGGGTTTTTTTCCCCACAAAGGCTGCGAAACTAAAGAGCAACCAAAGCGGTCTTTCTGTGAGAGATATTTAGGGAAGGAGCATTTGGTGGTTGCTGCATGGCATTCATACATCTTCCCCATCCCAGTAAGATCTTTAGTTGTTGCTCTCCCTGTCACTCACCTTCGGTAAAAGATAGCACTTCTATAGAAGGATACTGGATACAAGATTCTCCTCCCTGTTCCAGTTCAGCATGAGTATTGCATGAGGTACCTCATCACTATTTTGGGTTTATTATACTCATTTCAGTGACATAAGCTAGCAGTGATGTGGGTGCGTGTAGTTATCAAAGTGTTTTGTGCCTTAGTCTCTTGCTTGAGTGGAGAACATGAGATGAGCTTCTGTAAGAAAGAAAAAAACTTTAGCCTCAAAAGAGGATCATCCTTGAGTCCATACATCCTGACTCTTCACTATCTTACTGTAATGATTTAAAATATAGTATGGTTTATTATGCAAATCTATTTCCTACTGCATTTCTCTTTCTGATGATGATTTTCTAAGAAAAAAGTTAATTTATACTAGGAAAATGCTCAGGCAATGTTAAACATACAATCAATTGATTTTTTCCTGTCCTAGTCAGCAAATACTGAAAGTATTTTAATTGCTGATTTAACAGCAGAAGAAACATTATTATTCCACGTTTTACTGTTATTGTTAGCACTTACTGTAGTCCAGTAACTATAAAGACTCTTCTTGCCTGGCTGATGTATGATCCAAAAGGCCCTTGGTGCTGGCAACTGTATGTGCAGCAGATCCTGTTGCTGACAACTGTGTTCATTGAGGTCAGTGGAAAGACTCCCATGACTTCCTTGAGTTTTGAAATCGAGAAAACAAATCTAAGTTTGGATGCTTCTAAGACATCGTAGTGCATTGTCATGGAATCATTCAGCTAAATGTGCATGTTTTTTAATGCTTGTTATGTAGATATGCTTGATTTTATGAAGGCAAGACTAATTGCAGAACAAATACTCTCTAGGCAGAAAAACTGCAGAGTCAGATCCACAGTTCTTTAAAACCAATATAGTTTTTCCACTGGGCTGTGATTCGGTTCTTAAAAAATAATAACACAAAATACTGTGGATTATCACTAAATTGCCATTTTATAGCCCAATATATCTCTTTGGCATCTTTTCATACTATATTTGCTTTTAGAATAAAAGCAAAAGTGTTTTCAAAACAACTGTGAAAACAGGTGGACATTAATTAGAATCTTTTAGGCTGAAAACAACAGGATCACGTATCGAAAGGATCACATATCAACATGTGAAACTTGCAGCATGCCCACAGAAATACAGCAGTGGGGGTCCTGATAAATTATATCTGGAGTGATTAAAAACTGCCATGCTTCATGCTGACTTTCAGCATACATCATTATTTAAATGAAAAGCATCTTATAAAACATATTTGCATTTTTGTAACCAAAAAGGATTCAGAAATCCCGCTTCTGGACCCAGACTTGACATTCTGGCAGTGCTTGAATCCATTTGTTGTGACATGTTCATTGCTATTTTTAACTTATGTAGTAAGAATTTAATCTTATTTGTTACAGACTCCATCACACTGAAGGCATTCACAAAGCTTTATAGGACATAATAAATAATGCTGGTCAGTAGCTTACAAACACTGTATTTTTTTTACCCTCCAGAATGCTACCAGATACGCCAAAATTCATATTTTGGATTGTATGAGAGAGAAATATAAATAAAGCCATGAAACTACAGAAGAAACCCCAAAGATAGTATTTTCAATAGTGCTGCTATAACAAAATGGAAACATTTTTGATGAAAGGCTACTTAAATAAAAATTTAAAATATAAACCACATTTTTTAGAAAAATATTTAAATGCCAAGTAGGAGTTCAAGTCCACATCCTGTCTGCTTCCCACATTCCATTCAAAAGCAGGATATCAACCACTGAAAACAACAAAAAAAGTCATTAACTACACTATATTTGCTCCTGTTGTGCAACCATTTTACTTCACAGCAGCTTCATGACTTTATTATTTGTGGAAAGGGTGGGGTGAGGTAGAAATGTGCAATCTTCCTTTCGAACTTGCTTGTGGCTCTGAAATTGGTTTGAATTCACTGAGCAGGGAAGAAGGCAGGCAACTGAGTGAATGTGATTTCCAAGTTCAGTGCAAGTACATACAGCTAAGTATATGTTATGTCACAAGTAATAGTCTATCTGATTATGCAAGTAAGTGGGACTTACTGGCAAATCTGTACATATATATCTTAGGAATTTTCAAAAGTATGCCAAGAAGTTCCAAGTTCACAAATTGGCATAGCTCCACAAGTGAAGATGCTCAGTGGATACTTGTGGTTCTTGTGTACTACATACTAGTTTAAATTCTGCATAGCTGTTCTGCTTTATTCTGCTTTGTTCTGCTTTTGCTCTAAGCTCTTGGTTTTGATAGGCATACCATGAAAAAGAAAACTAGTCTCTTACATATCTTTATTCTTGTATTTATAACTTTGTCAAATGTCTTCCTTATTAGCCGACATGCCCAGACAGTTTCCAAAGTTGAACATCTCTGAGGTTGATGAGCACGTGCGACTTCTGGCAGAGAAGGTATTTGCTAAAGTTCTTCGGGAAGAAGACAGCAAAGATGCCTTGTCACTATTCACTGTGCCTGAAGACTGCCCTATTGGACAGAAAGAGGCCAAGGAACGGGAACTGCAGAAGGAACTGGCAGAACAACAATCTGTGGAAACAGCTAAAAGGTTTGTTCAGTAGTTGCCATCTTAGTGGAAAACAGGTTTTTAAATGAGTTTGGATTAATATTGAAATATCTGGCAAATAACATTCTGCCTCTTACTACTTTAGGAGAAAGGTCAACACCAGGTTCCAAGGGCACTTATGTGAAGTCCTTCTGTGCTAGTCTGTGCTAGTCCTTCTGTGGCGATGAGCCCCAGGGAGCTTGGATTAGTGAGGTTATCTCAGCTGTGCTTCCAGCAATAGCATAGGTATTGCTTATGCAAATGTAATACACAGCATAGCTGGGTAGAAGCCAACACAACCTTAAGACTTTAATGCAAAAAGAATAATAAAGAGGAACATTTCCTTCCCTCTATTCTGGTTTCACTCAGAGAAACAGAAAATTTTAACACAGAGAAAATGGCAGTGGTATGATGCTGCTTATACTCTGCAGAAATAGATGAAAGCAAAGACTTAACATCAAGGGAGAAAGTGAAAAGTGGTATTGGCATAATGAGGTTATTCTTAGGTTTCCTTAGCTCACAGTGATAAAATCTAACCACTGTCAGCCATAAAAGTGCACATTTTGATTTTTCTCAGAAAAAAAACAAGTAAAAGTCCACCTGTGGTTCACCCAGCAGTCTAATGAAGCCAAACTTGATTTGGTTTATGATTTTATTCTGTGACAGAGGTCACAGGCCTTACCCTGATGTTCCAGTATCTTCACTTCAGTGGACTGGCTAGACTGTTGCCTAGAGTCATGCGAGCTCAGCAGCTGCCTGGATGTGTACAGACTTCAAAAAGCAGGCAAACAGGGAAGCCTTTGAAAGCTAAACACATTTACCCAGTTAGCTGCAGACAATCAGTTGGGCAATGCTTGGCATCATATTTCTGGAACAGAAGGGAGAAGAGTCAATTCAGCTAAATTAAGGTATGACACACTGACAGTATGGGCTGAGACTTCTGGTTTTGAATTGTGCGAGTGGGTTTCCTGGTTGGCACGTGCACAGACATAAGCACAAAAGGGAAAACTACATGTTTTCATTCAAATAAATATTTGGTGTATCTTTTCTCCTGAACTAGTAAGTCTGACTTTTAATTTAGGAAATTATCTTTTAGAAATATGTTCTGTCAAAGCGTACCTCAAGTTTTGTATGAGTTTAACTGTAGAATGGGATGTTCTGTGTATGCTGTTTACATGAGGGAATAGAACAAGTGTTTATCCCTGCTCTGCAGGACTGAAATGTACTTCAAGGACAGTTACAGGAGTAAAACTTCTGTTGTTTGCAGTTGATCCAACACTGCCTTTCAAGAATTTCATACTGGTTTCAAAGGTGACTACAATTACTTAACAGAGGATGGAGTTTGGTCCTAGGCTATTAATCACACCAGCACTGCATGTCCTTACTCTTCAGAATGTCACAGAATTACTGTGCAACTTCCAGAGAGTATTCCAGTATTCCTTTTGCTAGTCATTCTTACTAACATTTTAAGGTTTTGTCATCTAATTTATAAAGTGAGGGATTATTTCCACAGCTCAAAAGAAAGTGATATTACAGGTAGTTTATAACATATTTATTTATTATATAAGTATTTAAGATGTATTTAAATACATTTAAACTGAGGAAGAAAAATTACATCTTTAGAGATATACCAAAACTTCACTTGAGGTATTACAATTACTTGACTGAAAAATACAGCTGCCTTTTTTAGCTGGTTTGCCTAAGGTACACATTTCTCACAGTTCTGCTGAGAAAGGGCAAAAGGTTTTGAACCTATGGACATAAGGCATTTAGTGCCCTGAGTGGAGGGCATGACTTGCATGTCAAAGCCATGCTGTGTTATTGCTGTGATAACCAACATTAGTCTTTTGCTCAAGTCTCATCAAACACTGCCTAAGGGATAACTATATGGTCATAATTTTTCTTACAAGTTTAACTGAATGACTATATATGAAATTCTGATGCATAGTCTTGTGTGACAACTAGATGAGTTTTTAAGTCTTGCATGTTTTGGGGAAGAATGAAAAGTGTGTGTAATAGGATGATAATTGCAAAAAAGCTTACTGTACATGACAGTCACTTGTTTCTATTGGATACTTTGTGAATTCTGATGCTACCAGTCTCTTAAAAAACAACTTCTACTGAAGAAAGCAGAGTGATCACTTATTCCTTCTGTACAGTGACTTGCTGAAACTGAATTTGTAAGAGGTATAAAAAAACAAACCTCAGGGCATATTACAGTGATTGTAAATAAATTATGGCATATTGTATTCCTGTGGAGGGTAAGTGCAGTTGTGTGTAGCGTGTATCATGTGAAATGTCAATAGAAAAAAGTTAAAAGCACAAATATTTTCTGACCAACATTTTTTCTATTATATGAGAGATTACATTTGTAACATTTCTTAGAGGGTCATTTCTTGGCTGTAATCAGTTTTTCAGTGTATTTAATGTTTTATACCATGGCTTATTTTGTGATTTATACTGTGAATTTGTAGGAAGAAAAGTTTCAAGATGATTCGATCCCAGTCTTTGTCATTACAAATTCCATCTCAGGAATGGAAAGCACCGTTGCCCAATCCTGTTCGGTCTCCTGCAGCACCAGTTCCTCCAAGTGCTTTTCTGCCAGTCCCAGTGCCGTATGATGTACCAGAGTTTCAGAGAGTTTCAATTAGTGGAGACTACTGTGCAGGGGTGAGAATCTATTCCTTTTCCCATTTTTGTATCTGGGGAGGAAAAAATCCCAAATTTGTACACTATATAAAGTGTGAAATACAAGTATATTATGGCTCTCTGCTACAAATTATAAATTGTTTTGTGAACACATAGAATTGTAAAACAGTTTAAGTCAAGATTAGGTCATTTTATATTTTTTATCTGAAAAAATAAATCTAATAGATCAAAACATAACCAGGCCTTAACTAAATGTGTAATGTATGGTAGGAGAAAAAAATTAGCATGTGTTTTGTCCATTGCATTTGGACTCCACTTCTGTTTCTGGTTCCTGAGACCTTGCATAAGATCTTTACGGTCAAGTCACATACACTTAGGTTTCTGGAAATGCAGTCGTCATGTTACTGACATGCATTCAGTTTGTTGCTAAAACTGCTGCTTTATTTCTGTCAGTATTTATCCAAGCTTTCCTTTCAGGTTACAGTTGATGATTATGAGCAAGCTGCCAAGAGCCTGGTGAAAGCTCTTCTCATTCGAGAGAAGTACTCCCGTCTCGCCTACCATCGCTTCCCAAGAACAACCTCTCGGTATCTGTGCAGCATGCGAGATGAGAAATGGAAGGCTGAAGATGAAGTGTATCCAGGTGAATGTCCTTGTTCTTCTGAAAATACAGAATGCACTCACGCCCTGCTGTAGTAAAAGCAAGTTGAATTTTTGTCATGATCTCTTCTGTGTGCCTTTGCCTCTCTAATTTCTCCTGTTAGGAAGTGGTGGAGAATCACTGATGCACCCAAGTTATAAATCCTGTGTCTAATCTGAAACTTTGAAGCTGCCAAGAGCTAAAAAAATATTTGATGCTCATTTTATTTATTTATTTATTTATTTTTTATTGGCAGTAAATGGGATGGTAAATAGTACACTTGTGTTCCTCTAGGAGAAAGACATGTGGATATGGTTTAAAGTGAAAATTCATTCCTG